GCTCGTTGCCGCTTTTGTGACCCAGCTCTTCTCGTACATGATCGGCAAAGGCATCCAGTATGGATTTGTGTCACAGGAGAGGCATTCGTCTTCCTACATATTCCGGATGATCCTACCATCGTATACTCTTCTGTGCGCGTGCCTAACCTAGACGTTCTTGATGACGACGACGAGAACAGGCTCCATGGCACAGCTGTTGTGCAGGTCTTTGCGTTTTTCCTTCAGGCCCTGCGTGGCACGACGCGTCAACAGACAACACCATCGCCACCTTCGCTGGCGGGTTACGGGTTATCACGCGAAGCACAACGACCGCGCCCAAACACATATCAACACAACAGCCACCGATAGGTTATGGGTCGCCTATCACCCCCGACAAAGTTTGCAACGTCCCGCGACAGCAACGACGACGAGCCCGACAGAAAGGTATCACCTCCTGCACAGAGAAAGCACCAGACACTAGGCATGCTACGATCGGTGCCGCAAAATACTACAGATTACAGACAGATTGGTCGCCTGTCGCCACCTCCGCGAAGAAGGATTGTCGCCCCTTCAACGTACGACAATGTCTGCGGAACCTGTGCACGAGCGCTCATACTCAGTAATCGGACGAGTCGAAGCGGTTGGAGCATTGTGTTTTGCGAATCGAGCTCGACCCCAGGCGGTGGACGGCGGTGGTGGTCGAAAGATGGAAACATAGAGCCACATAGGAACCCAGCAGGAGGCAGCAAAAAGATTTACAGATACAACTGAGATACGGTACATGCGAGTCTGAGAGGATGCGGACAAGAGAAACAAGCGAAGCTGAGCGCTGGGGGGAGACTGTAGGTATGCGGAAGCCAACATGGTGGTAACCACCAACAGAGCCGAAGTAGGAAGACGCGAAAGAGGGAGTTCAGAGGCAAGGAAAACAATCATGACAGGGGAAAATTAATGCAGCAGGGAGAGACTCTTCAACAGAGAGAATTAACCCGAGGACAGACAGTGCAGCGAGGAATTTGGAGACAGCTGGCCTTGATTCAACAGCAGGGCGAAGTGGGACGTCGCGACTTGTCGTGGACGCGTCGGCTGTTGGCCAAACCTTGCTTTCCGGGCATAGCTGCTGATTAAAAGAGTGGCTGAAACCGAGTAGGAATTAATCAATCAATCAATCAATCAATCAAGATGGCCACCATCATATCTCTACCGATGCATTTCAACGACCTTCCCCTCAAGCGTGTTACTCATCACACATCCTGAACATCCAAGGGATACTAGACAAACTGATGATCGTCGTTCCAGTTGTTTGTCCCAATCAGTAATTTATCCACCTTTGGCCGCAGCCATCGTAAACCCCCCCATTCGCCTACGGCAGAAGTTTGACGACGATGCAACGGTCATCAATAGCATCATAGTGAGTGCCAGCACTATTGATGGTGGTGAACTGTGCACTGTTTTGTTCTTCTGAGCCGATGCTGAGTGTTGATCCAGAAGCTGGACTGTATTGATCTGCATATGGCAATTGGTATTGATCTGAAACGCAACTTTGCCGGCCGAGTCCTGGTTCAAAAGGAGAGATGACGCTGCTGCAATACGGGAAGCAGATTCCACTGTGGTTTTCTGCGTCAGGTGCATAACCCATATTGTTTTGATCTGGCATGCTGAGAGAGTCGTAGGTGTAGTAGGGATCCGGCTGGACAGTCTCTGTATTCCACCCGAAGGGCGGTCTTGTGAATATTTGGGAAAGCACAGGGGCCAAAGTTGGATCGTCTGGTTGAAAAATGACAATCAAATCGTCCTCCGAGATATCGATGTTGACTGAACAAGTCATGGGTGAGCCATGGCCAGCGACGAGAGTTTGAGTAGCTGTGCCTACCGCCCGGCCTGACGGGCCCATCCGCACAGCCACCTCGCCGGGAGAACGAGAGAAGGAGGCACTTGCTCTATACCGAGATCCTTGTGGAGATGGAACCCGGGCAATCTGAGCAAAGGGCTGCCATGGAGATGTGAACCTCACCCGTCTGCTAATTGTCAGATCTATCCCCAAAGTTGGAAATCGCAAGGGCATCCTTACAGTTTGAAATGATCGGTTGTCAAACTCCAAACGTAGTTACACACAGGATGGGCAGAGAAGCGGATGATTTCTGCTCGGATGCTCATCATTTCGTGTTGCATCAGATGTATCGCCACTTGGCCGGTACCGCCGAATATACCGTCCTGTTGAATGTATAGAATCTGTTGTTCTTTGCCTTCTGTAGTCAACAGAGTTCCGTCAGGCTCTCTCACTGCCACTCGGACAGTCCTGTAGAGATGAATGGGATGCACGTCCATGCTGAAGCGTTTAGATTGAGACGATAAATAGGCTCAGATTGGTATGTTGCTGGTTGAACCTTCGCTAGTAGAACCGAAGCGCAATTCTATGTAGATGGCAACCGACAAGCCTTCTGGTCTTATATCGTGGTCTTCTTGTATTGGCGGTGGTCCATGTAGCCTACCTCACCTAATCTGAGGCTTGGTAGGGTTGTCTTTGGCCGAGACTTAGCCCGCCAGGCCAAGACGAGCAGAATCCCCATTACAGGGTGAAAGACATACAGCCATCCATGCATTCATCCATCCTCCAATCATGCATCCACTCGCTCATTCAATCCTCCCTTCCACCGCCGCCCTAGCCTCCATTCAAAAATGGACAAGATCAGATGTTTTTTTACCCCGCAGACGTCGTGAGGAAGCATTCTTTTACCTCTCTTTGCGAGTTGCGTGATCCTCACCACAAACCGCTGATAAGCATCTTTCTGTGAATAGTTGCATAAGACTTGAAAATCGGTTGTTTGTTTTTGGACCCCAATCGGTGATATGTTGTGTGTAATTAATGCATTGTCTCTTCCACTTGCTTGTTGCGAACTCATTAAAGGCCATACACTTTTTGTGCGTGTAAATGAGGCGTCACTATAAACGTTGGAGGTGTATCTGAGTAGGATGACAAGTCTAGTGGTTGGGATCAACTGACAGACACGTCCGGAGACTTCTCCGCCACTAGCAGAGACCTATGAAGAACGTGCGCTGCGTCTCGTACTGGAAACTGGATGATCTTTTGCAGCTAGAATATGGCTAGGCCGATGAAGCTGCGGCTTACAAGAAGACGGTGAAGATTCCCGAGCCATTATCTCACTTGGCCCACTTAAACAGATTTCAGCGTCCTGAAAACATATGTGCCGTTGATCATCCGCTCCCAAAATAGACAGACTGGCTCAGAAAACGTGTTGGCGAACATAGGCCTTGGATGAATAGATGAATCCGGCATGGCGAATGTAATGCGAATGGATAGGTGTGCTAAGCACGAGTGTGATGACACAATGTATGTGCACGAACGAAGAGTTCTGCTAGGGGGTTGGGAGCCCTCGACCAAACTGGCAATGTACGAAGGGTTGTATCTGCCAGCTATCGGTGACTTCTTCTTCATGCGCACTGTGCTGCCTGTGTCTCTCATTGGCAACGCACCGCAACACTTCGCAAGGATAGACGTGATCTTTTGACGCTCGACAGTTGCTAGACCGATGCACTTGCAACCTGCGAAATGGTCACGTTTCTCAACCGTCATCTCGCTGTTCCCTCTCGAGCGATTCCAGAATCGTGGCCCACTTATGTGTTGTCAATCGTTCTCGGCCAAAGTTAGGACCATCTGCGGACGAGTCACATCTCGGTCTATCATGTCTCTTGACGCACGATTGAAAGCATTTGGATAATGAAAGATAGACGAATGGATGGATTTAAAGGAATAGATAGTCGCGAGATGTATGAATGGGTGGATACCATGTACATGCCTTGACAATACCAGACGATTGGCAAACAGGGCTCTTAATTTGCGCCACTTTTCTCCATCAAATAGGAGTTGAGCGGCTAAATGCCGAGGAACACATCCAGTCCGCTCTTGTCCATCCATATATACATTTATTCCCCGCTCATCCATTCTCTATTTATTCATCGTTCTACAACGTTTTCCACAGCCTTTCTCACTTCATCCCCCCTCTTCTCTCAAGATCCGTACAATGGCTAGGCACATCAGCAGTCTTACCACTTTCCTGGACCAGTATGAGCACGGATTTTCTGATGAAGACTTGAGCAGAAGACTGAACCGTACGGCTATCTTACTGCGCAATCCACCATACCATGCGACAGCTGCTCAACCAACGAGAAGTCGGCATCAATCAGCCCAGAAGTTTCTTTTCAACATACGAAAGGATTTCGGGGATCCGGTCTATTATCTCTGTTTATTTGTATCCACCATAACTACACTCTCCACTGAGCGACAGCAGTTCAACGACGCTTTAGCGCAATGGCCTGGTAAAGGCAAGATTCCACCTGCTTTTACAGAACAAGCCCGAGCGATAGTCGAGAGGTATCGTGCAGAAAAGCGAGAAGAAGAAGAGCGGCCCTCTCATACGTCCCTTCGGAAACGTTCTCTGTCAACACCCCGTTCAACCCAAGAAAGCTCGGCCAAGGACTCTGGAAACGCATTCAAACGAGCCAGGCTAAAGGGAGGGCCCAAGGACTTGATGTCAGTCGGAAGCATGGTCGTGCACTCTGAGCCAGGCGAAATGAATGACGGTACCTCGCGGCCCGGCAGCGAGTTCAACACCAGGTACCGAGCATCGTCAGAAATTCGGAATGAGTGCAGCATGACTTATCAGGACCTTTACATCAATGCCCGGAGCATTGTGGCTTCTCAGCTGGCCACTAGAAATCGTCAGGTCTCTCACAGACCCGAGATCGAGGCTGCTGGGCGCGAGGTTGGACCAGATCATCAAGCTGGTGGCAAAACTAACGTACGATGTGCCGAGAGTGATGACAGTGAAGACGAAGAGGATCTCCCAGCTTCAGCACCAGTCAATCCGATCAATTCCGTCGATACATTCCAATCACAAGACGGTATAACGCCTTGCACCCTCCTGATATTCGAAAACCATTAATGACTCTTGTCTAGATGAGCTACAAAGGGTATACAGAGCGACGGCAAAAGATGTCATACATGCACTCTCGCATCCCGAGTTTAGTATGGAAAGTGAAGGTACACTAACGGTTCCTTTCATCAAAGGAGTCTCTCCATTTATCATGTTCCCAGTTTCAGGCAAGGCAGCAATGTACTTAACGCACAGTCAGAAACGACTTATGTAGAACTCACTTCGGTTACCACAACTTCGGCGACTCTACATGGTCCGTAACAAACAAATTTTAGTCCAGCCACCCATGGAATTATGACAGTAAATCCCTTGTACTCCATGCCAACCATATCCACTTGCTCGTCGTTGGAATCGTGAATGTAAACAGCTTTCCCTTCACCAGACTTGAGGTGCATGTCTACTAGTAAAATAGCCGTATCCGGGCCTGGTACATACCGAGCCAAGTCGTTGAAGTCCTGCCATTTGGGATTTGAACACTTATGTCCGGTCTATTCCTAAGTGAGCGTTAATCACATTGAAGTCCTGGGTGCACATACTTCCTTCTCGCACTTCTTGACGAGCTTGTGGTCTGACGAAGTCTTTGTGCGAATCTTTCTCATTCCATCGACCGTTGTGGGGTAAAGCAGATCTGTCGCCGCTCTCGCGTCGCGTCTTGCGCCGGCTTGATATTCGGTATTCTCGTCAGGTCTCGTGCAAGGTTTCGCGTTGGTTATCGCGTAGGATCTTGAGTTGGGTCGCGGTAGCAATCAGAGAGGGAAACTTGAAGGATCTTTGCCGAAGAAAAATCGTTAGATAAAGCGGTAGAAGCATTCGACAGGGCTTACCTCAAAATGTCAGCGCGCAAGCAGTTGTCCAAATCTTTCTCGAGGGGCAGTAGATTTGTGAGCAGGTCACCCCGCGTTGACGCCTGATCATGTCGCGAAGCCCCAGTTATGATCACGGGTTTACATAGGCCCGAAACTGCCCCATATCATCTGACGTCAGGTTCCCCACCATCCATTCATCCATCCATCCATCCATCCATCCATCCATCCATCCATCCATCCATCCATCCATCCATCCATCCATCCATTCGCAATCCATTCACTCGCGTGTGGGTCTTCACAACGCGTTAGAAGCCCACCACTCTAGAGAGATTTGTAGCTGCATGAGAACGCAACATACGAAGTGCAAGCTGGCATCCCATAAGATAGATCTCAGATAGAAATATTTCATGCGTGAACGCGTTAGCATAGCCAGGAACGCCCCATTGCAAGTATGTGTCCGTGGGTGCCTCGACCAGGACAGCGGCCACAGCAGGATCCATAGACAGATTCCCGACGAGCCCCAAGCGACGAATGAGCGAAGCCAGGATGCCGGGTATGCTGTCTATGGATGTAGGTCGACGGTTATTCCAGTGAAAGTCGTGGCTGTAACTCGGAACGCTCCAGGTGAGACCAGCTCTTGCCTGACAGCAGGGGGTTAGCATGACGCCTCCTTCAACATGCTGTGGCCAGACCCAAGCGCCGCACGCTGCATCGAGTCCTATGATTAGGCTTGCAGCTTCTTCATGGTGAGGTTTGTCATGTGTTCTCAAGACAGAGCTCAAAATATAAAAGACCAGCCGTTTGCCCAGTTCGGCTGGTGAACGCCCGCACAACAGTACTCTCCGAATCTCAACTCTATTCACAGCTTTTGTTTTTGCTATAAATCGGTCAATAGGTTGATCCTGAACTATCATTACCCTTAGCTCGTTGACTGCTACCCATATTTTGTTAGACACTTCTCAAATCGACACCATGCACCACACGACTTCTACTGGGGTCTCCGTAGTGGACATCTTCTTCCCTGGCTTTACCGGCGCCATGGCGGCGCTGAACCAGCTTCTCAACGAAACGCTGAACAACTTTGCCACAATTTTGTGCGTCTGCGGAATGTTCATTGTTGGTGGCAAGTTCATTTGCAACACCGTGGGAGGCTTCGTAGATGCTTACTTAAGTTGGTGGTCCTTCCTTCCACTGCTTCAGCACAGTATTAATGTCCGGCAGCATGTAGAACCGACGTTCACGATCCTGACGAAGGATACGATATGCTCGAATGCTGGGTCTCTTCCCAAGACTTTGCCAAAAACGCTCGTTCATCCCTTGTCAGCGTCGACAGCAGGCGAGGACGAGCCTTGTTCCGTCCAGACTATGACACTACGACCAAGAAGCCCCTTCGATTTACCCCGTGGAGAGACCGATTGTATTTTTGGTATAAAGGGCATCTGCTCTTTCTGCAATGCACGCAAAACGAAGTGGCGTTATTTCCTCGCAAGACAATGACTGTTTCTTGTGTTGGCGGTTCCTCCCAAATCCTGCGAGATCTCATGGGTGAATGCCGCCTTGAATACCTGAAAATTTCAGAAGACAAAACTTCAATTTTCGAGCACCATAATAATGGCTGGAAAAGAATCATGACTCGAGAAATCAGGCCGATCGAAACCGTCATTATGAAGGAAGAACTGAAGCAAACGCTCATAGACGACATTAGCACCTTTCTTGACCCCAACGCTCGGTCCTGGTACGTCAGTCGTGGGCAGCCGTACCGGAGGGGCTACCTGTTGTACGGCCGCCCTGGGACCGGGAAGTCAAGCTTCAGTATGTCTATTGCCGGCTGCTTCGGTCTCGATATCTATGTCGTTAGTCTTGCCGGCATCGACGATATGCGGCTTAGTGCCTTATTCGCCGACCTTCCCCAGCGCTGCGTCGTTCTGCTCGAGGACGTCGACG